AGTGGATAGAGCACCAGCCCTGGATTCAGGAGGACCTGAGTTCAAATTTGACCTCACACACCTAACACTAGCTGTGTGACCCTGGGCAAGTCACTTAACTCCATTGCCTAAGCAAAAAAAAAAAAAAAATAGTGCATATTAAGAAATGTATGGTCAGAGGTAGAGTATCTTGGGAATGTTGCCTGAGAGAGAAGCACATGGGAGTTATTTCTGAGCCCATTCCTCCTAGAGGGGTTGGGTTTCTAAGCAGCATGCCCAATATATTGTATTAGAGAACAGAAGGGAAAAGGCAAAAAGTGACCCATAGTCCTACTAGACAGGCCAGAGCCAAGAGGTGGTTACTCCAACAAGAATCTGTCTTCCCAAGATTTCAAGACAACCATTTTGCAAGAGATATCTTTTATTCTTTAAATAAGATTCCAATGGAAATGTTCACCCACCTTCCATGGGAAGAGGTATGAATAATCAAGAGTAATTTTCAAAAATATCATAGAATGGAATTCCCTTTATCAATACACTTTACAGAGAGTTGAAAGTAGTCATTTGATGCCTGTGTTAGAAATATGGTTTTTTTTTATGTGTTGGATTTGTCTCCCATTTAGATTTTAAACTCCTAGCGTGCAGGAAGGTGGTACAGCAGATAGAATGCTGGGCTGAAGTCAGGAAAAAGAGTTTTCCTGAGTTCAAATCTGACCTCAGACAATAACTAGCTGTGTTACCTTGGTAAGTCACTTAACCCTGCTGGCCTCAGTTTCCTCATCTGTAAAATGAACTGGAGAAGGAAATGGCAAAAATGACACTCAGGTCACTTTGCTTAACTTCAGGAAGTATATGTTTTTCTAGTGTTTGTTTACATTAATCATCTAGTGCATCAATAAAGACAAAAGAGGTAAATTCAAAGTAAGGGAGCAAGTGGAAGGATTTATCCAAAGATGTATCAAAAAACCAAACATTTTTTGGCTTGGAAGTACTTACTATCCTTGAGTGTCAATGTGTTGAGTGAGAAAACAATTGCAAGTTTTCATCAGCCATGACAGATATGTATTTCACCCATAGGACATTGACCATAGCACGTGCAGTGCCTTAGAGCAACATATAAATCAATAAAAATTGCTGAAATTGAGCCAATTCTGAGACTGAAAACAGACTGCAAGACAAGAGGCTGATGACAGTGTTATATGCAATTGAAACAGCCTGGAAAATTTTGTGAATGTGATTTCCTTTGCTGGAATTTGGCCCAGTTTTTCAGAGCCATAGATACCAAGCAACAAGTCAAGAAGGTCAGGACCCCAGGTTTGAATGTCAGCTCAACGTGAAATTGTTTCCCCAGGCAAAGCATATTGTAGATGTCTAATTTCCCCACATAAAAGGTACAGGTTTTGATGCAAATGAAAATTTACTTCAGCTTTTGAGATTAATTACAAGCACACCCAATCCCTGGGGCCTTTGGGGCATGGATTCAAAATATAAGAGCTGTACCGCAATTAAATTAAATGCAGCAGTTAGACACTCCTATTTAAAAAAAAAAAGGAAAAAGAAAAAGCCAAACTACTGTGCCTGTTTAGAAAGGTAGAGAAATTTAATATTCTGCCCTGAAGGTCAATCCACTCCAACTCTTTTGGACTAGAAGGGGGAGTAAATTCCACAGGAAAGGACCTTCTGTGGAAAATACTGTATTTCTATTTCAAGAAGATCAAATCAGCAGAGTCTTTTTTTAGGAGCATTTCATCATTCTATGTCTAATAAAGTTCATTGGAACTATGTGAACTGCACTTGTGACAAAACAGGGGAGTTTTGTGCAAAGTGCTGAGCAGCTCCTTGGCAAAATTACTTAATTTAAGGTAATAGCTTTAGAGCTGGGTAAGAATGCAGAGGTCATCTAATCCAAATAGCTCCGTTCTACCGACAAAGTTAAGTGACTTGCCCTTTTTGGATTTAGTTGTTTTACTTGTAAAATAACAGTGTTGAACTAAGTGTTACAACAAGCACTTAGGAAATCGAACATGTTAAGATAAGCTCTACAATTCTATGATTCCTTAATTGTTCATTTTTTCTATGTGTTCATTCATTCATTCATTATTTGCATGCGTTCTATGTCATCAAGATCAATCTAAGAATGATCGGTTACTCCGTGAGCCGCACTGGAGGGTCAGAGGACCATAAATTGAGAGCTCCAAGGCACCTTAAAGGGCATCTAGTCCAACCCCTCATTTCAAAGATAATGGAACTGAGGTTTAAGATTATGAAACTGAGATTAAGTGACTTGTCCAAAGTCACAGAGTTATCAAGTTGAAGAACTATGAAAGGTACTATAGAAAATACTATAGAGAACTGTCATTGACTGGAATGGTTTCTGTTTCCTTCCATTACCATCAGCCAAACTGAGCTTAAGGAAAGGATAGGAGAAAAGAAGAAGGAAAGGAGGTAGGAAAGGTGTTCTGAAGGTGTTTACAATCCAACTCCAAAATAGGGGAGACATCAAAACCACAGCAACAGATTCTACTCTTTCTAATCTTTCTCTTCTGATGAGACACATCACTTGGCTATTTTGATGGACCCAAGAGCTCAATAGGGGTAGCACCAGGCCTGGAGTCAGGAAGACTCATCTTCCTGAGTTCAAATCCTACCTCAGATACTTACTAGCTGTGTGACCCTGGGCAAGTCACTTAATCCTATTGACTTCAGTTTCCTCACCTGCAAAATGAGCTGGAGAAGGGAATGGCAAACCACTGCAGTATCTCTGCTAAGAAAAACACAAATGAGGTCACGAAAAGTCAAGACACAACTGAAAAACAAATAAACCACAAACAAGAGCTCAATGATATTGTCCCTCCCTCCAACAACTCAATCTTGTAAATTCTCCCTCCACACCTCTTCTGTCCTTCCCCTTCTCTCCACTCACAGAGCCACCATCCTACTTAAAGCTCTTCCCTCTCTTCCTAATTTGACTCCCTGACTCCAGTGTCTGCCTCTACAATCCATCTTCTACACGCCTGCAAAACTGTTACTCTGACCATGTCACCATTCCTTTGCCCAAAGACTTTATGGTCTCCCTCTTGCATCTGACATAAAATACAAACTCTTCTTTTTGTCATTTTAATGCCCTTTACAATCTGGCTCCAAGCAATCTATCCAGGATGATTTCACATCTCTCTCTCTTCCTCTCCTTCTCTCCTGCATTCTTTGTTCCAGCCACACCAGCCTATTTGCTGTTCCCACCAATCCCATGCCTTCTCCTAACCCTTTGCCTTTGTCAGGCTGTCTTTCATGCCCAGAATGTTCTCCCTCCTTCCCTCCATATCCTACAATGCTGACCTTCCTTCAAAGCAGATCTCCCCTGATTCCAGCAGTTGGTGGTGATCTCTTTCTTTAACCAAATATCACGGTATCTTGCTGAGTCCTTTCATCATTCCTGTTTCTGGATATTTCTTCTCTAGACATCGCAGTTTATCAATATCACTCTTAAAAAGATTGCCTCTAGGGTCAAATATAAATTATGCTGTTTGGCATTGAAAGATCTTGACAATTTTGGCTCTATCTTTCTGGACTTATTTCACATTTACCCCCTGCCCCTTAGCACACTATAAACTGGTTCACCTACTAGGCTGTTCTGTGTGCGCAACATTCCATTTTCCATTTCTGTACCATTCTACAGGCTGTCCCGTTATACCTAGAATATACATTCTTCTTAACTTCAGCCTCTTAGAATCCTTAACTTTCTTCAAGCCTTGAGAGCCACTTACTACATGAAGCTTATCCTGATCTCCCCCAATGCTAGTAGTATCCCCTTTCTGTATTTGCTGATCTACATACAGCTTGTTCCCTCCACCCCACTTCAAGTAGAATTAAAACTCTTGGAGGGTAGGGATCATTTAATTTTTGATTTTGTATCCCCAGCACTTAAAACATTTCCTAGGGGCAGCTAGGTGACACAGTGGATAGAGCTCAGGCCTTGGAGTCAGGAGGATCTGAGTTCAAATCTGGCCTCAGACACTTGACACTTACTAAGTCACTTAACCCTCAATGCCTCACCAAAACAAAAAAAAACACATTTCCTAGAACATAATAGGCAGCTAGGTGGCAAAGTGAATAGAATGGTTGACCTGGACTAGGGAGAAATAGGGAGGAAGTGAAATCAAATCCAGGTTCAGACACATGCTGTGTGACCCTGGGTGAGTCACTAAACTTTTGGCAGCCTCAGGATAAGCACTGTTCAATTTCAAAAAATGTAATCTTGCTCACTCTCTTCCTCCTATTCAATTCTGATTTAATCAAGAAACACCTACTATTGTATCCAGACATTGGGGGATACAAGACAAAAGACAGTCCCTGCTCACAAGGAGCTCACAATCTAATGGGGAAACAACATTCAAACAATTATATATAAAGGAGACATCTACAGGATAAGTGAAGAGATAGGAAATAAAGAAACAATGAAAACCTCCTCATCCGTAGGTCAAGAACCCAAGAACTCAAGGGTGTGCTGGTAAATGTTTCACAACTCTCTCTCTCTCTGTATATATATATATTTATATATACATATATTGATATATATATATAAATATATATATATATATATTTACACACACACATATGTGTATATACAGGCACATGATACACTTTTAAGTTTAATCTGTATTATTAATATTTTCACCATCATTTTCTTAAACGTCTAGACAAACAAAACAATAGATGAAGCCCTGATTTGCAGTCATTCAGCCTGCTGGGGCCTCAGTTTCCTCATCTGTAAAAGGAGGAGGTTGGACTAGATGACTTCTGAGGCCCTCTTCCAGCTCTCTGAGTCTATGTGAAATGTGCAATATGACAAAACCCTTAAGAACCAGAGCCCCGGGCAGCTGTCGCAGAGGTGCGTCGTCATCTCCAGGCCCTCCCACCTCCCAGCCCCAGCACTTCGGAGGAGAGCTAACAGTTCCCGAGGCGGCGTTTGTCAGCCCGGAACGGAAGTACTTGAGCTTTTAGGACCCGGGGGGAAACTTTGAGGAAGGACCAAGATGGAGGCGCTCAGTCCTGCGCCCGCGGTGGCTGCCGGAGGCGAAAAAACTCGGGGTTCCGCGGTCCGCTCCTCAGAGGTGACCCCGCAGAAAGTCCGGCAATTGATAGACGAAGGAATCGCCCCCGAGGATGGAGGCTCGGATGTGTGAGTTTGTCCGGGTTGTCTGGGAGGGGTCAGGCTTCGGGGGTCCGGCTCAGGACGGGGGGCTGAATGAACGCAGGCCGGAGAGGCCGCTCATCGTCTTCTTCTCGTCGTCCGGAGGGCGGGGGGAGGGCCGCGATTTCTGCCTCGGAGAAGGCGGGTGCCGGAGGCTGGATCCGCCCCGAGCCGCCCAAGCTACTCCCTCGGAGCCGTTAGCGTTACGTGCCGGGGTCCCCGCGGCGGGGGCCCGCGAGGCCGAGAGAGAACGCGGGGCTGCGGCCTGGCGGGCCAGCGCAGCCGGCGTCCGCGGCCTGGCCTGGGCGCCGAGGGCAGAGAGGTTTCAGAGGTGCGGGAACTGGGGAAGAGGAAAGAAATGCGCGAGCACCTCTGTTGTCACCAGTCTCTAACTGGAACGTAGCGTTGCCTTCAACCGTTTAAACTGGAGGCACGAAGTACTTCATAAAGGATTTGGGCACGTATTTCAAAGGTTCATAGATTTAGAGCTGGAGAGGACCTTAGGAACCGTGTAATCCAACCTCTTTTTACAGATGAGGAAACTGAGGCCCCAGCAGGCTAAGTGACTTGTCCAGGGTAGCACCTACCGTTGAGAACATCAGGAGTAGGATTTGAAGCTGAGTCCTCTCGAGGCAGAGCCAGAGGATTGCAATCCAGGATCAGAGAATTGCAATAACAACAATAACAAAAGCAACAACAACAATAATTATAATAATGGAAATGAGCATAATTAAGGCATACTATGTGACGGGCATAATAATACAAACATTTTTTCATTTGCTCCTCAGGACAACTCACAGTAGGTGAAACATGATTCCAAGAAAAGGGCCTCACCAGACTGCCACAGAAAAGATTCAGAACCTCTGGTTTAAAAAACAAAAAAAATAAGGGCCCAGACCCAGGTATAGTCTTGGTTTTCCTGCACAGAGCAATTTGGGCTGGATGAGCTTTCCTAGATTTTGCAGAATGTTCCATTTCAGTTCAGTGCTATATGTGCTTATTAGGGATCCTTTATGTGCAAGGAAACTATGCTAGGCCCTGAGGAGAAAAAGACAAAAGTTCCAGCCCTCAAGGAGTTTGACATTAGACTGTGGGGAATACAACAGGTACACAGATGAGTACAGTACAAGATAGAAAGCAAAGGGGACAAAGAAGAGATCAAAGCATTCTGGAAAGAATGAAGGGTGTTAATACTGGAAGGAACTTTAGAACCCATCTAATACAACCACCTTAGTTTCATGGATGACAAAATTGAGGCCCAGAGAGTTGTAAGTGACTTGCCCAAGTTTACACCAGGTAGGTAGCAGAGTCAGAATTCAAAACCAAGTCTTTAAGTGCTCTTTCCACTACAAATTCACACAGTGCCTCTTGTTTCCTCATCTGTAAAATGGAGATGATCATGCTCTGGCCTCACAAGCCCACAGTGGTGGTTATGAGGAAAGAGCCTTGTAAACTAGAAAGCACTATGTAATTGTGAGTTGTTTTTTAGGCAGGGGCTATTGGAAAGAGTGGGATGTATGAGTCCAGTCCTTCTGGCCTCACTGCCATTGGCCTTACTCAACTGAGTTGTCTTTATTTTGCTGTGATCAGATACTACAAGAGTTTTCTTCAATTTCTAATCATCAGTGTAGGGACACCAGCCACCTCATTTCCTTTTCAGGAATGATATTGAAATACCCATGCCCTTCTCCTCTTAGACATTAGAGAGTTACTTTGATGCTTTCTCCTGTTATTTTTCGTGGGTTCTCTTAAGGCTCTTTATTTTGTGATCATTAGTTTCTATGTAGCTTTGGGGATAGGTGGATTGGGAGACCAGATATAAAATAAAATCTGTCATTGTATGCCAGGACCTGGGCTAATCTGGACTGCTGTAGGATTCTGTAGTCCTGTTAGTTAAAAACTTATTTCTGTTAGTGAACTGTATAAGTTCAGTACTGCCCAAGAGAAGGAGGGTACAATATTCATTTATTCAATAAATTTTATTAGGTATCTGCTGTGTATGAAGCATTGTTAAAATATATCTATCTAGATAGATAGATAGATAGATAGATAGATAGATAGATAGATAATGTTTAATGAGGGTATCTGAGAGTAGATGTTGGATTTCTGGACCTTTGCTTGAAATCTGGTAACGATAAGCTCTTGGCCAAGGATGGAATGTACCTATTAAGGGCCAGTAAAAATATATTTGCCTAGAATCTTGCAAGTCTAATCATAAAGGCTTTAAACAGAAAATGAAAGTGGAGGAAGAAAACAATATCTTTACCAAGCTAGTTATCATAGAGAGAAGCTATACTTTAGGAAGAAGAATAGTATTAGGTAGCCCTTAAAATACCCCCAAATCCGAGAAAGCATACAGCAATAAAACCTGTAACCTCAGATATACAGAATGCACCAAGTATGGGTGTTAAGCAAGAGACAGGGTGCCATCATGGATAGGAAGAGGGCTTAGAGACAGGAAGACCTGGGTTCAAGTGTTGCCTCTATTTTAGGTACATGACCATGACAAGCCACTTAACCTCTCAGTACCTCCAGGAAGCTCCCTAAGACTGTAAGTAACAAACAAGTTGTTGGTCTTCTAAAGTATAGAGAAGTTGCTTCTATTGATGAAATAAAAATCTGGACCCTTTCCAAAAAAAGGTGGGAAGTAATGAGCAAGCTAAACTAGAGATTCAAATACAAAGAGGCAATTTGACCTCAGAAGTATGTCTGAGACTTGGTGGGAAGGAACATAAACTAGATTAGAGTGTGGATCTGGAAAGGTTCTAGAAGGATACTCCATTCAAAAGGAGTAGGATAGATTGGGATGGAGTAGCAACTTATATTAAGATATACTCAGATGAGGAAACTCAAGAACCAGAGAGAAGCATGGTGGAAAGAACTTGGGTGAAGAATAATAAAGGCAGGAACAGAATTATCACCGTAGATTTAGAGCTTGAAGAAACTTTAAGGGTCATCTAGTCCAGCTTCCTTCATCATTTAAGTGTACTACAGATGAACTGGGCAGAAGAAAGAAATCAGAAAACAGATTACAAGGCTGACAGAGCTTGTATCTTGATATTATGTGAAGATCTAATGATAGAGGACTTCACTTATCCGCGTATAGGATCATAGATTTAAGGTCATTTAGTCTAACCTCTTCATTTTATAGATAAAGAAACTAGGTCACACAGAGCCCTAGTGATCTGCTGCTGGAGCCAAAAGCAGAGCAGCTAATGATTTCTTGGCTTGCCTTAATGATAACTGTAACTTTCATAAGGTGGAGGAAGCAATAAAGGAAACTGCTTTTCAGTATTTTATTCTTACCAGAAAGGAGAAACTGGTTGCTTGGAGAGAAATGATGGGAACCTTGAGGGAGCAATGACAATTCCATCTCGGAATTTGTGATATAGGAGAGGAAAGCCATGCATCATCTGACATGCACCATAGATAGCAATCTTTCCAGGGTTCAGAGGAAAGATAGGTAGGATTTTAATGGCCCAAAATTGTATAGGGAAAATCAACCCAAGAGAGATAGGAAACTCTCAAGAATTTAATTCTAAAAACACAATGAAATAATTCCAATGAAGAAATAAAGGGGAGTTGTCTGAAGAGAACAATATGAATATACAAAGATCTCATCTACCAACTTAGATTGTTAAAAAGCTGGGCATAAGATGGAGGGCAAGGTAGACAACAGAGGAGAGTTGATACAAGATTGTGGCAGGATTATGGCTTGGTCCCTTTACATTAGTGTTAGGAATGCTAAGATTCAGAATGAGCTGCATCGTTAGGCACACTTTAAAAAAAAACAAACCAGACTTTAATGTAGGAACAAAGAAGGGAAAAGAGTGCTGCACGGGGTGGCTAGGACAATAAAAATAACTAATACAGTGCCTGAAGAGGTTACGAAGTGCTTTATAGATCTTTCATTTGATCCTCACAACCGCACAAGGTAGGCACTACAAATATTATCCCCTTTCTCTACTCCGAGATAGTGAGTAATATTGAGCAACTTACCCAACATCACACAGCTGGTAAGTTAGTTTTTTTTTTTTTTTTTTTGGATAAGTAAGTATTGAAGCAGGCTTCAAATCAAGTGTCCTGACTCAGGGCTTCTCAGTCTTTCCACTCTACTGTGCTGAGGGAATGCAGAATCATACTTTATTTTGCTTCTCTTTTCTTTGTCCAGGAGAATTACCTTTGGACTAGGAAGGACAAAAGAAATGGCTAATAGAGATATGAAACCCAAAACAAGGATATAGTAAAAGAGCACCTAACTGCTTTTGATTAGTTCATGTTACTTAAGACCAAATGAACCACATCTCAGGGTACGAAAAAAACTGGTGGATGTGATTGCTGAACTACTGTCAATTGAACTTTGAAAAATCATGGAGAATAGGGGCAGCTAGGTAGTATAGTGGATAGGGCACTGGCCCTGAAGTCAGGAGGACCTGAGTTCAAATTCATCTTCACACACTGACTAGCTGTGTGACCCTGGACAAATCCCTTTACCCCAATTGCTTTCCAAAAAGAAAAAGAAAATTCGTGGAGAATGAAGACCATTGTCATTGTATTTGAGAAGAGCAGATGTCCCAATTTTCACAAAAGTTAAGAGAATAGAGTCTGCAAGCAGTTGGGCAGTGAGATTGACTTTTATTCCTGGCAAAACTCTAAAATATATTTATTATTAAAAGGAGGGTTAGTAAATATCTAGGAAAAGGAGCAGTGATTGGGGATCTGCCATGGTTTCCTCAAGAGTAAGTCATGTCAGACTAAGCTAATTTTTTTGACAGTGTCAGTAGACTGGTAGATCAGGAAAATGCTGTAGATACAGGTTCCCTAAATGTTAGTGAAGCATTTGACAGAGGAACTGTTTGAGTAACTTATCTCATGCTATTCTTGTGGAAAAGATGGAGAAATTTAGTGTTAGACCAGACAGTAATACAGGAAGGTAGATTTGGAACCAGCTGAATGACCAGATCCAAAAAGTAGTTATTAATAGTTCAGTGTCATCTTGGAAGGAGGATGCGGTGCTTGGTCACGTGCTGTTTAACATTTTATCAATATCTTGGATAAAACCTAGTAGGCTTGCTTATCAAATTCACAAATGGTACAAAGCAATTATGTTCACCATGTGTTCATTTATTTACAAATTTTATTATGAACTTTAAAAATATCTTTATGAGCTTAAGAAGTGTAAACATACAAAGAACAGAAAATAGGATTGTGTGTTAAGATGAACTTCTAATTTTAAGCAATTTGAACAAGTATTGATCAAGTACCTGCTGGATGCCAGGCATTATGCTAGATTCTGGAGATAAAAAGACAAAAATGAAACAGTCCCCACTTTAAGGAGCTGTATTGGTTTGGGGAGAAAACAACATGTACATACATACCTATTTAAATACATATCAGACATCTTCCACAGTGAGGGCGCAGGCCAACTATAAAGGGTGGTTTGTTAACATGTTAAAACAGGGTTTCCAGAGAGCACAGCAGAAAAATAGGGAAGACTGGGATAAGGACATCAGAGACTGGGACCTACAGGGGTGGGTTTGAGGGAGGAGGGCATCAGTCAGTAAACAGTTATTAACTGCCTACTATATGTCAAGCACTGTTCTAAATGCTGGAGATACAAAGAAAAGGCAGAAGACTCCCTCCTCTGTAGTTACAGTCTAGTGGGGAAGACAACATGCAGACAAGCTGTATACAGCATAAATTGGAAATAATTAACAGAGGGAAGACTTAAAGAGGAACTAACAGAGGGAAGAATTAAAGGGGAACAGGAAAGGCTTCCTGCTGCAGATGAGATTTTTATGGGGATTTAATGCAAGCCAGGGCAGTTAGGAGGTAGAAATGAGGAGGGAGAGTGTTCTGGATATGGGGGACAGTTAGTGAAAATGACCAAAGTCAGAAGATGGAATGTCTTGTTCTAGGAACAGCAAGGAGGCCAGGGTTACTGGACTGAAGAGTACATGGAGTGGAGTGTAAGGTATAACATGTCAAATTTTCAGGAGTTTTGAATGCCAAAGAATTTTATATTTGAACTGGGGATAATAGGTAGGGATTGGAATTTGCTGAATTGGGGGGGGGGTGTGATATGGTCAAACCTGCACCTTATTATTTTGCTTTTTGGTGAAGCAGTCGGAGTTAAGGGACTTGCCCAAGGGCACACAGCTAGTAAATGTCAGGTATCTGAGGGCAGATTTGAACTCAGGTCCTCCTGACTGCAAGGCTGGAATTCTATCCTCTGTACCACCTAGCTGCCCCTAAACCTGCACTTTAGGAGATCACTTTGACGGCTGAGTAGAGGATGGACTGGAGTGGGTAGAAACTTGTAAAAGGGAGACCAACCAGCAGGCTTTCACAGTAGTATAGGTGTGAACCTGAACCAGGGTGGTAGCAGTGTCCAAAAAGAGAAGGGAGAATATGTGAGAGATGTTACAAAGAATAAATGAAAAGGCCTTGGCAGCAGATTGGATATGGGGGGCGGAGACAGTGAGAAGTTGAGGATGCCTTGGTTGTTAGGTTGCATGCCTGGGAAGATGATGGTGCCCTCCACAGCAATAAGAAAGTTAGAAAGAGGAGAGAGAGAGAGGGTTTGGGGAGGGAGTTAATGAGTTTAGTTTTTGACAGGACCAAGGAATAAATATCTGTTCATTCGCTCCTCCCATTCCATACTAGCCTGAACACAGTCCAGGAGCAAATGCCTCTCCTTCCCTCTCCTTCCCACCCTTCTTCCATCTTTTGAAGGAAGGAGAAGAAGAGATAATTTGTGTTTATGGTACTCATGGAACAGATGAAATTTCTTTGAAATCCTTGAAATTTAAATATTTTTTGACAAGGAGAAATGAAGGGGACATTCTCTGTGATTAATTTGCATGAGTAAAGTTAGAAAGAAATGGGGAGAAAGCAAGTAAACCATTCTGAGTTGTAGTAGAAGAGGCTGGTAGGTGAGGAGTGGATTCAAAGATTAGAAAGGTCAGTTGGAGCCAGTTTATGGAGGGTCTTAAGTGGGTCTAAAAAAACACTCTATAGAGTAGGATGGTGCAGTGGGAAGAGTGCTGGATTTGGAGGATGAGATTCTCCAGCTTGTTTTAGGCAGATCATGTTACTTCTTGGAGCCTGTTTCTTCAGTGGTAGAGTTAAGGGATTGGACTATGTCATCTGCAAGGTACCTTTCAGCTCTAAGTTCTGTGATCCTCTAAGTCCCAGTTCTAACATTTACAAGCAGTGTGCTCCTGGGCATGAACGAACAAACAAATGAATGAACCAATGAACAAATGAGTGAATGAACATTTAATAATCTCTTGCTATATGCCAAGCACTGTGGTCAGCATTGAGAACACAAATTGAAAATATTAGGCAGTCCCTGCTGTCAGGGAGCTCATATTTTGATTAGGAGAGACAGTGCGTAAAACTAAATTCAATTGGAAGATGTATGAGAAGCTCTGTAAGTCTTAAGGGTGCTAGGGTGGGGGGGTGGAGTTGGCAAGGCCTTAGGTTATGTCAGTAGGTCAGATAACAGTGCCAGATCTGAAGAAGGTATAGAGGCAGTGCAGATGGTAAGGTTTAGAGCAGTGGTTTAAAACTCAAATAGAAACATGGGCCACTAATCCATATATAAACATCCCTGCAGGCTGCGTATTGACTTGGTTTTAAAATGGAATGTTATCTGTGTTTTATTATATTTTTTTATTTTGTTAAATATTTCCCAGTTACATTCTAATATGGTTTTGGCAGCACTGGGAGTGTGATAGGCCATGTTTGACAACTCTGGTTTGGAGGCCTTAAGATACAATGGCAAGAAACACAGTAAAACCTGGTAGGCTTCTGTCTCCTCAGGATTAGAGTTGGTGACTCCTATCTCATCCAAGCAGTGTGAACAGTCCAGTAGGCTGGATAAGTTCTGGGCAGTCTGGGTTGGGGGGATGGAGCAACGGCAAAAGGGAGCCCTTGGAGGTGACTGCCTTGTCCCTTAACTTCTCTGAACCTCAGTTTTCTCATCTGTAAAGTGGGGCTGATAATAACTGCATTGTCTTCCTCACTAGATTGTTGTGAGAAGACTTCCAAACCATAAACTATCATATAAAATGTGAGTTTTTAAAAATAGGGCCAGGAGATCTTCACCTTTCTTGTGTATCTGAGACTGCTTTGGCAAGCAATCTGGTGAAGCCTGTGGACCCCTCCAAAAAAAGTTGTTAAATGTGTAAACTAAAATATGTAAGATTACAAAGGAAATCAATTATATTGAAATACAATTATCAAAAAAAGGCTTTTTAAGTTCATAGGTTCTAGGTGAAGACCTCCTGTAGACAGTGAGGAACTCAAAGGTTTTTGAGTAGGAGTAACATTGTGAAAACTGTGTTTTTGGAAAATCACTCTGGTTTGGGGATGTAAGGTAGATCAAACATTAGGGGATTTGGAGACAGGAAGGAGAAGAATCTTTTTACAGATACGTCACTTTGTTTTTTAGGGAGGATACACCTGCCTTGTCCCAGTCAATTAATGGATCACCTCAAGCAGAAGAACCTCCTTTGGAATCTACAAGCAAAGAAGCCTTCTTTAACAGAGTAGAAACATTTACTATATCCTTTTAAGGACAGATATTCAGTGTGAGCTTTGAAGTTATAATTCTTCAGAAGCACCATATTCCTATCCCCACCTCAATTTTTATCTTTTTATACTTAAAACAAAACCCACTGAAAATTGCCAAATACAGTCTTTTTTAGAAGTCTTGTATTTGGAATGTCAGTTTTACTTTACCTAGTCCAGAGACAGCCTTCTTCAGTAGCTTCTTCTGGAGTTTTAACAACACTTGCCTGCTTTAACACTCGTTTTTTTTATGCCTAAGTTTTGTGGCATAGAGTTTAAACCCATTGACTTTTTTTTCTTTCCTCAGCAGAAATGAAGAATATACCACCATCTAGGGAGGGGGAAACCTTTGTATGATTTAAATCAGTTTTTATTCTTCGTAGTTGTTTTCATTTTTTCTGACTGAATAGTCCCAACTTCTTTAACCTTTATGTCTAAATTCTGTTTTCAAGCCTTTTAGTCAATTTTCCTGGTCTTAACGATGTTTTTTGGTCTTCTCATATCCCTCTTAAATAGATAGAAACTATTCTATTGAGAGTTAACCAGTTTTTTCTCTTTTGTTCTGTGGTTCTTCTTTCACAATGTGACTGACATGGAAATATGTTTGACATGATTGTACATGTATAACATCAGTTTGTTTGCTGTCTTGGGGAGAGGGGAGAGAAGGGAGGAAGCAAGAAAATTTGGAACTCAAAATTTTACAAAAATGGATGTTGAAAACTATAATTGGAAAAAAATAAAATATTATTAAGGAAAAAAATAAAATAATACTGCTTATCACCAAAAAAAAGAGAGCGTTAACTAGTGCCCTGGATAGTGGGGAGATTTATTCCCAGCATGTTTCAAGTCTGTTACAGCATGTATTAAAAGGGTCTCCAAACAGTTAATGGCAGTAGGAATTCAGTGTTCATTTTTTTCATCTTTCATCTGAGTAACAGCACTTGTAGATCTATTATGTTTTTAAAAGATTAATATACAGATTTGTATTTATGTATAAAGATTTATATACATAAAGATTTATATTTATATATAAAGATTTATATAAACATATATCTAGGTAAAGATTTATATATAATGTGTAAAGATTTATATGCATACATATGTATACATATGTCCCCAAAGTCTTAGTGCTGTTTTAAGCTTTAGTAGCTTTAATAAACTGCACTAAGATTTTTTTGATACCCTGCATATCTTTTATTATTACTATTACTATTATTTATTATTAGTAGTACTTATTAAAGCTTTAATAGATTAAAATTACACCACAATTTTTGTGACACCCTGTATGTCTTTTTTAATGGCTCTGCAGGCGCTACTCAGATGGATACAAAAAATGGATGTTGAATCTTTATTGCTGTTTATTGTTTCAGGATCTTTTTAATAGATTTTCTCCAGTTATTTGGTCCCAGGACACAGCAAAGAGAGAGTGTGGTGGCCAGAGGTTTGAAAACAACGCTGCTAGGGGCAGCTGAGTGGCTCAATGGATAGAGCACCAGCCCTGAAGTCAAGAGGACCTGAGTTCAAATCCAGCCTCAGACCAAACACTTGACACTTACTAGCTGTGTGACCCTAGGCAAGTCACTTAACCCCATTGCCTTTTTTTTTTTTAAAAAAAAAAAAAAAGGAAGAAAACAACACTCTTGTTTGTATATCATTTACCAGAAACTCTTTTGAGATTTCACAGTAGCAGATGCAGCTTAGTCAATTATAAAATAAATATATGTGCCATTAATATCACTGTCACTTTCCAGTACCTGTTCACCCCTATTTAGACTCTTGCTTAAAACAAAGAAATGAAGAAGCCAAACAAATCAACACATTGATTTTGTCTGACAGAGGTCTCATTCTGTACTTATAATCTACCACCTTTCTCCAGAGAAGAGGAAGGCATTTTTCATCAGTCATCTGGAGTTAAGATTGATCATTACACTGATCTGAGTTCTCTTCTCTTAGCAGTGTGTACCTTTACAAAGTTGTCATTGTATATATTCTTCTGGTTCTGTTTACTTCTTTCTGCATCAGTTTTAAAGCACAGTTATCATTACCCAGTTGACAGGCACCAACTTTGTATACAGTTTTTTGTATCCTTCAGTACATGAGAACTTTACTTTTGTCTTTGACTTCCTTGGGATATATGACCGGTATTCATTGTTCCACCTCCAGCATTGACTATTCCCATCTTTTGTCATCTTTATGAGTTTTAGATTTTTGGTAAAACATTGGATTTATTTTTCTTTTATTATTAGTAATTTAGAGCAGTCTTCCATATGGTTGTTGATAGGGAAACCTTCTTTTGAAAATTGTTCATATCCTTTGACCATTTATTCAGGGAATGATTGACTCTTGGTCTTACGTATTTTTGTCAATTCCCTGTGTATTTTGGATATCAGATTTTATCAGAGATATTTGATGTGAATTTCCCCCCCAGTCAGCAGTTCTCCTATTCTAGTTATATTGATTTTGTTCACGTAAAAGCTTTTTGTATACTCGAAATGATCTTTTTTGGTCTTTTGGTCTTTCTTTGGTTATTAATTTTTACCCCATTCCATGGGTCCATTCTTTAGGCTTTTTTTTTTTAATGTAATCTTTTATATTAAGATTGCTTTCTAGTTGTTTTGTTTTTGTTTTTCTCTAGGCAGTGGGGTTAAGTGACTTGCCCAGGGTCACACAGCTAGTAAGTGTTATGTGTCTGAGGCCGGATTTGAACTCAGGTCCTCCTGAAACCAGGGCTGGTGCTCTGTCCACTGTGCCACCTAGCTGCCCCCTGCTTTCTAGTTTTTCCAGCGGTTCTTATCAAATAGCAAATCCTTATCCCAGTAGTTAGATTTTGTTTTTATTTTTTATTTTAATTCTTCACCTTATTAATTTTTTTTAATACTCCATTAAAGGCCTAATTCAGTGTCCTATAGCTTAGATATCATCTTTGATGCTGGGAAGAATATGACAGTGGAGAATAAACCCTGGCAGGTTCTTCCACGGTGGAAAGACTGCAAGTACAGACTTTGTGATAGACTGTATATCTGTTGCTCAAGAATCAGTCTAGCAAAAGAATTGGACATTGAGGGGATGCCCATCAATTGGGGAATGGCTAAACAAGTTGTGGCATATGAATGTAATGGAATGCTGTTGTGCTGTAAGAAATGAGGAGCAGGTGGATTTCAGAAAAACTTGGAAAGACTTACATGAACTGATGCAGAGTGAGGTGAGCAGACCAGGAGATCATTGTCCACAGTAACAGGTACATTATGTGATCATCAACTATGACTGACTTAGCTCTTCTCAGCAGTGCAATTCCAAAAGACTCATGATGGAAAATGCTATCCACATCCAGAGAAAGAACTGATGGAGTCTGAATGCAGATGGAAGCATACAGTTTTCGCTTTTTTTTCTTTCTCATGTTTTTTCCTTTTTTTCTGTTCCTTCATTCACAACATGACTAATGTGGAAATATGTTTTACATGATTGCACATGTATAACCTGTATCAGATTGTTTGCTGTCTTGGGGAGGGAGAAACATTTGAAACTTAAAATCTTTCAAAAAATGAATGTTGAAAATTGTCTTTACGTGTAATTGGAAAAATAAAATACTATTAAATTTAAAAATAGTGAATGAACTATGAAAAAAACCCAGCCTAGCTAAGTTTATAGAGGCTTGTCATAAGGTTGGATAAAGGGTGAATTTTTTTTGCCACACCATAGGAAACTTTCAGAGACTTTGCAGATCCGAATCAATGGAGGAAATACAAACAATGATGAAATCACAGGTCGTTAAAGTATTGAAGTGTGAAATGACGTATTTGCAGTATTTTCCTTAACATGAAAACTCCTTGAAATGGGCAGGCAAACCCCATGAGCTGTCTCCCCTGGTCTGTGCAAAGTATGGTTGGGTCACAGTTGAATGTGACATGCTCAGGTGTTCAAGCTGTCAGGCTTTCCTGTGTGCCAGCCTGCAGCCAGCATTTGACTTTGACAGATGTAAGTATAAAGTGGGCAAGTGACATTCCTGTATTCCATATTTATTCACATAGGGAGTTAGTACTTTCTTGGGATAGTATATAAACTTTTTTGAAATGTTTGAAAAGATCTGTCATTTCTCTTGGTTCACAAATAGATGCATTGATTATACCTGATTTCATTTAAGTCTGTAGTTGCCACATTTTAATTTGTAATCTCTCCATCCCTATTGGCCCCACTTTTCTGTGAGTTTTTGGGGTGTTTATATTCAAAGTAGTTGGAAATGAATAATATGTTTTTGGTTATAATTCTAAGGATTATTCTTCTGGGGTATTAATTTGTTTTCTTTCCATGCCAGTGTACATCTTTAACACTCCTTGCCCAATGATAATCTGACAAAGTACTCATTTGTCTACCTAATTAATACAGGATCAGTGTAATCTGGAATATTTTTGGGAGTGAGAAATGTGTTTTGAGTGTTTTCTTTCAGTTATTTGCAATTTTCTTGTATATATATATATATATATACTTTTAAGGGCTCTTGAGTGTTGGATGCATATTTAAAGGTTCACAAGTAAATTAAAATATTAATAATGATTATAGGTATCTTTGTACTGTTTTTAAATACATTGCTCTTGATGTTGGTTTCAGATAATGAAAGATGTGCCGAGCTGAAGAAAGCTTTGTGTACTGCTCATGAGAAGTTCTGTTTCTGGCCAGACAGCCCCTGCCCAGGTACTTGTTCCTGAAACCAGCCACCTGCCATTTAATTTGGGTCAGATTTTTCCTCATGTCATCACTTTTTCCTTCCAAAAGAGTGTTGCTTTAAATAGAAAGCATGGGTGGAAAATCCTTTGACCCAGGTCTCCTTTGGAGGCTTCTGCATGTCCAGGCAACTCTGCCTGCACATTCAGGTCCCCTCCCCCCATTGGGAGAAAAGAGAGAGTGGAGGTGGGGTGACCAAGGAATTCAGTTTAATCTGGAGGGAGAAAGTAGGAGTTCAGTATCACTCACATACACACACATAACAAAAGGAAGAAGGGAAAAATGAAGAAAAAGAAGCAGAGGTAATATGTTATAGGTAAAATACATATAGTGTTCATTGCTTTATAATCAAGATTTCTTCCTGATGGTTTGACTATTTAAGAAAATAGTTAACACAATAAAATTGTAGTAAAATAAGCATTTGAATGGTTTTCTGTTTAGTGCTTTCAGTCTAATCTTCTGGTATTAATTTGGGGACTAAGAAAAGATACCTAGTATAGAAGGAACCCTTCTTTAGAAAGTTAAATGGTCAGTAATTTGTAGGTGTATGGTGTTTTTACAATCTCTCTACCTCCAAGTATGGGAAATATTCTATTGAGCCAGTTTCAAGAGTGCAACAAAATTCATTTCTTAAGCGCAGAGCAAACATTGCTCTTATCATCACTAGAATTGTATTTGTAACTTTCATTGTCCCTGCTTGCCAAGAAAAAAACTCAGTGAGAATTCTGTCATTTTAACTCTTTTTGATTATCTCTCCTTTCTGGAATCTTCAAATTGTGCATCCTTGTCTCCGAATGTATTTTCATTCCTTGCTCTAATTGCTAAGGCAGTGTGGAGTCTGTTCTATTACTCCTGGTTTTGCTGGCTCTTCTGAGGGGAGGGATCATAGTAACCCACCAAGGCCTGTCAGTATTTCTGCACACTTTGTATAGAATACCAATGGACATGAGTGCTTGTTTTATGAATCAGTTTAAATGCCGGAATATCTGTAATGGGTAAGAAATGAATTTTCAAGCAACACATTATTTCTTTCCAAATTTATGAGTAGTCTTATGAGTTTTTTGGAAGGGGGAGGATTGGTCTGGATCACTGATTTCATTTGTGAATGAAACTTCTGGTGAGCAAGTTCCCTTTACAATGCAGATAAGACAAGTACCCTGAAACTTAGAGTCTTAAAGAGTTAGCTGAGTCACTAAGAGGTTAAATCACCAGCCTTGGGTCAACACAGTCTGTGTCTATCGGGGGTAGAACTTGAACCCAGGGCTTCCTGACTCCAAAATCCACTATTTATTAGATAACTGGCACTTTTGTTTCTTACAATCAACTAAGACGTTTTTATTGCCTACTTTATGCTAGTTGCTGAGAATACAAACTAAAAATTGACAGTCTCTGCCCTCAAGGAGTTTACATTTTAAGGGAGATAGGGGAGAGAGACAACATGAACCTATGTCCAAGCCACATAAAAAGCAAATATGAGATAACCCTAGTGGGTTGGAGGCCTAGTAGCTGGGGAGACCAGGAAAAGCTTAATGCAGAAGGTGGTGCTTGATTTGAGTCTGGAAGGGCACTACGGGTTTAAGAAGGGGAGGGGGGAAATTGAGTAAATGCCAGGCATGGGAGGCAGCTAGTGTAAAGGGAGATGGAGTGCAAACAATAAGACCAGTATGGCCAAGCTACAGAATTTGTGGAGAAGAGAATATGAAATATGTAATAAGGTTAGAAAGGTAGGATGGGGCCAGGATATGAAGAGGTCTAAGTGCCAACAGAGGAGTTTATATTCAATCTTAGAGGTGATAGAAGGTAAGAGTTTATCAGCTGGAGGAGTATGATATGGTCAGACTGGCTTTAGGAAAATCAGGTTGTCTATGTTTAGGGTAGATTGGATTGGGGAGGTATCATAATTAGTCCAGGGAAGAGACAATAAGGACCTGAACTAGGGTGGTGGCTGTGTAAATGGAGAGAAGGGTACATTTACAAATGATGTAGAAATAGAAAAGGAAAATATAGCACCTGATTAGATATGTGGGATGAGGAGTTGAGGTGATGCTAAGGTTGGGTGACTGGAAGGATGGCAGAATAGAGAAATTAGGAGAGGAGTGAGTTTAGTGGGGATGATAATGAGTTATATTTTGGACATGTCAAGTTTGAGGTACATATGGGACTTATGCTGACATTTGAAGTGTCTAATAGACAGTTGGTGATGAGTTCAGGAAAAAATGAGGCCTGAATATAAAGAATATAGAATATAGAGATGAGTTCATGAATGCCAATCATGTGATCACCAAGTGAGACAGTGCAGGAAAAGGGGGGCCTTGGGGGAACACAGCTACATCTAGGGGGTATGACAAGAGCATGGGTTCCGTAGAGTGATGAGGTCAAAAGCCAGACACAGACAGTTTATTTTACTGTTTGGTTCCATCCCAAATTGTTGTCTGTTTGCGTTGTTTGTTAGTCTAGTTTCCCCATCAGGAACATGTCTCTGCATAGCAATTGATTAATAGACACTTATCTTTCACATATTGTCCTGTGGATCATACTAACCCGTTCACAATTTTAGTTGTTTTCATTTAGGCCCTGTAGACAGTTTCCTTCCTTTCCTACCCTCTACCAGTCCAGTTATGTTCCAGATACCATGCAAAAAAAAGTTCATGCAGAGCCGAAGAATGTGCTAGCTATAAAAATTTGGTGTAAATGTTAGATGTTCTGGGAAACCTCATTTAGACACTGACTGGAACAGTATTGATGAACTAAGTGATTTTAACAACTCTTTTAGCCAGGCTTTCTTTGCTGATTTTCCATTCCTTGAAATTGTAACCTCTGGAGCCCATGAAATAGCCAATGGTATTAATGGGTGGAACTCCAAAGCTATAACACTCACAGTTTGGGCTCACTCACTTTTACTTTGACCTCTACCCAGGAAATGCTTTTCAGTGGCAGAATTAAAAAGATGCATCTGCCCAAGAAAACAAAATCATCTCTAGCCAAGGTCTAAGGATGTACAGCATTGTGGGTTGTGGAAGTGCACAACTAATAAGCAGCTGAATGGTACAGTGGTTAGAGAGCTGGGCTTGCAAGCCAGGAAGACCTGAGATCAAATCTGGCCTCAGATACTTACTATCTGGGTGACCCTGGGTCAGTCATTTAACCTCTGTTTGCCTCAGTTTCCTCAACTGTAAAATGGGAATAATGATAATAACAATAATAATAATGATGATGATGATGATAGTACCTACCTCCCAGGGTTATTGGGAGGATCAAAGGAGATAATGTTTGTAAAGTGCTTAACACAGTGCCTTACACATAGTAGATGCTATATAAATGTTAGCTTTCATTATTAAGCCTTATCCACTTATCAAACTTGTAAAGTACACTCCAAGTTAATAAGAGGAACCACAGGGAAATGGTTCCACTGATGACCTCAGACACTTAAAAAAAAAAACCTTGGGAGTGGGGGGAAGAGTGAGGAAGGAGAGAGCAGAAATATAGTAAAAACCAAATGGAACACTTCTTATCTTTTCCCTCCCCTTAGATCGTTTTGGAATTTTACTACTGGATGAGCCTGTTGCCCTTCTTAATGAGTTCTTAGATCGTTTTCAAAGCCTCTGTCACCTGGACCTCCAGCTGCCTTCCCTGAAACCTGATGACTTGAAAAATATGGTAAATTTCCTTGTCTATCCTACATTGGACCCAGTTATTGCAATCACTCATACATAACACATACTGCTTTGAGTTTTCTTTTTAATTTAATGTATTTCGATGAACAAATATCTGTTTTCTCACCCCTCACCACCATTTCTCTCCCTCCCCCCACTACTGGAAAAGAATAAGAAAAAATCTGTGTAACAGATATGTATAGTTTAGTCAAACATTCTCCTAGTGATCATGTCCAAAAAATGTGTTTTGTTCTGCACGTGGGTCCCTGGTCTCTTTCAGGTGGTGTGGGTAGCATGCTTCGTCATCAGTCTCCTGGAACTGAAGTTGGTCATTATGTGGACCAGAGTTCTTTAAGTAGAAAGACATATTTCATATTGTCATGGAAAGGCCAGTCCACCTCTTTGTTGTCAGTCGAGGAGAGGGCTTTTTCAGTGGAATATACCTGTAATAGGCTCATCAGACACTTAGTAACTTGTTCCCAATTTTGTACCATCGGGAAATATTTCTTTAAATAAAATAATTCAGTCATTTCTTGATTACAAACTAAAACTACTTGGCACTAGTTAACTTCGTGTTCTCTAGGACTATATGAATTAGACCGTGCTTTCCTTGTAAGCCTGTGAGGTAGATAGTACAGGGTATTATTTTCTCCATTTTACAAATGAAGAAACTGAGATTTAGAGATGTAAAATGACTTTCTAGTAATTGTCTGAGCCAAGACTTGAATCCAGGTCTTATAATTCAAAGTCCAGTGTATTGTCCACTATATTACATTGCCTCTCTAGCTTACTTGACTTTAGAATAATCCATTTCCTACCTTTCTCCCTTGACCCTCTAAAGTGCAAATCTAAAAGAGAAGTAAGAATCTCCTTCTTGAAAGGAAATCATGAAATAATTTTGGCCCCTTTTAGTCCATTTTGCCACTGTGTGCTCTTCCTGTCCCTTCTGATCACTCTTTTGATGCTATGTGAAGGTTGATTGCTGATCAGCCTTTCCACCTGATGCACCAAACTGTTAACCTCTGCAGTTGGTATGGATTAGGAATGTTCTTCTGTCCTTACCAGGGGAAGTGTTCTTTATTATTCATAATAACAATTTAACCTATCTGTTCTTGTGGCAAAAAACAAACCCGTTGCCCATTCCAGATATCTACATTGAGTTTTTATAGGTTTCAGAGAAAAGCCTATAATCAGTGATTTGAAAGTTACTTAATACTGGAGAAAAAAAAGATATCACTGTCATATTTTTAAAAAATCTCATTTATATTGACATCTTTTGTTTTTTATAACTTTCATCTTTAAATATTTCCCTACCCACAAGCTCTTCCTTGTAACATTTTAAAATGAGAGAAAAAAAGCTCAGCAAAACCGATTACACATTAATTGTATATTAATGTATGCAGCTTTCTATACCCGTAGTCCCCTACCTCTGAAAAGAAGGGAATATAGTGTATTTTTTCAGCGCTTCCCTGGGGCCAAATTTGCTCAGTATAACTATGCTGTCATGTTTGTTAATCAGCAGTGCCATAAGCAACTTGGAAAACCGTCTCCTTGCTGATTGCCTTAGCCTCAGTTGTTTTTTTCCCTTTGGTTCCTTTGCAGTGCCTGACTGAGGACAAGATCAGCCTTCTTTTACACCTGATTGAAGATGAACTTGAACACAGGAGCGATGGGGAAAAAGCTCCAGCCCAGTTGGGCTCCGACATCCAAGTCCCTGTCACTGCCTGTGTCCTGGCTCTCTGTGGCTGGTCATGTAGGTTAGTGTGTGAACGACAGCTAGGGTTAGGAGTGGTAACACGAATACACCTTCCTCATTTTGAGAGTCAATAACGGGGAGAGAGTGATGTTACTTATTAGCCTCAAAGAACACTGGAGTTGGAAGGGACATTCCTCTTGTTTTTCCTTTTATTTATTCTGATTATGTAAAATAGCTCCAACAAATTGTCGTCCTGCCTCTACCTGAACATTTTCAGTGATGGGGAGCTCACTAAGCCAATCAGGTGGTCTACTCTTTGCTCATAATATTTCATAATTCTTAGACCATTGTTCTAAAATCTGATTCTCTGCAACATAAGAGGATAATCTATGATTATTGAGCAAAGAAATGCAAACTGACCACAAGATGATTCAGTTACATTTATGTTGAATCATTAATACCAACACAGGCATGAAAAACATGTCTCCTGTACTCAAGCAGCCACAGCCCATTACAGAAGATGACACGAACACGAATATCTGTAATGTAAAATGTGATAAATGCAGCATAGGAGAGAGGGAGAGTGCCCTCAATTCTGGGGAACAGGGAAGATTTCTGTAAACAAAGTAACCAGTTACCACTTTTAGCAAATTGGTCTGAGTTTTATGCTCTCAGGAAATGTTTCACTGATGTAGATTCAGTGAATGCAGTATTTATGTGGGATCGTGCAGGTAGCATGAGGGGGAGAAATCAGAACAAAGATGGAAAAGCAGTTTAGCGCCAGGTTGAATATGATTCAACAAATTAATCATTTCTATTACATATAAGATAGGGAAAATAGGTAATGTTTTTATAGCTCTTTAGGGTTTGCAAAATGCTTTAAGAATACTGTCCCATTTGATCCTCATTACAACCCTATGAAGTAGATTCTCTTATTATCCCCATTTTACAGGTGAGGAACTATGGCTGATAGAGCTTAAGGGTTGCACAGTTAGTTGCTGCAGCAGGTTTCGAACTTAGGTCTTCCTGACTGCAAGTTCAGTATTCTCTATCTAATATGGTACCTAGCTTCCATTTCAGAGTGTGTATAGTGCCAAACACCATACTCAGGATCCTGGGCTTGATTCTGGAGTGCTTCTTGTGAACTAACTGAAAGAGAGGGTGCTCAGAGAGCCTAAATAGAAGAGAAAAATTCAGGAGCAGGACCAGAATAGGACCCCAAGTCCTGGCTTCCACACATTCATTTTGTTGCTTTTGTCTGCTGCAGACACAGTAGCCAGCTGGCAATCAGTGTGCTTACAAATGCAACATTTCATTGGAGTCCCTTGTCTAATCTTAGTAAGGAACAGAATCAGTTTAATTGATAAAACGACTAAAGAAAATGCCAGCTGGAGTGCTCTGGGTTCCGGGGTTGCTGTTTCCATTCCAGCTGCTCAGCTTGGCACAGAGATGGGGAGACTGTCAGATCCAGTCTTGACTTATTTAAAACATTTTCTTTTGACTCCAAGGTTTTAAGGAATGCTTTTAATTTGAAAGAAAAAAGTTTTATGAGGGGCCAGAGGAATATATAAATTGCAAGACCTCCTTGAAAATAGAATACAGTAATGGTTCCCAAACTTTGTTTCAGAGACCCCTTGTGGCATATGGCAACATTTTGAGGCCCTCATTTCTGAATAGTTAACTTCTTTTATGCTCAGCATTTGGTGGAGTCCTTATCCCCACAATAGCATCAACTCTCCTCTGCATTCTCTTAGAATAATCCTAGATTCTTCTCTTATTTCAGAATAGTCCTCTTGTTTTTCCTTTATTCATTCTAATTATATATTCATCTATCTATGTGTGTATATATATACATATATACATACATATATATGTATGTGTATATATATATATATGTAGAGAGAGAGAAAGAGCTTTAGGTTCTGGGGATCCTTATATCAGCTATAGTGATCACTCAGATATCTCTGGGTTTACTATTGAAAATATGTGATTCTGGGGGCAGCTAGCTGGTGCAGTGGATAGAGCACCGGCCCTGAAGTCAGGAGGACCTGAGTTCAAATGTGGCCTCAGACCAAACACTTGACACCTACTAGCTGTGTGACCCTGGGCAAGTCACTTAACCCCGATTGCCTAAGATAAAAAAGGAAAAAAAAGAGAGAAGAAAAAAAGAAAGTATTTAAGGGCTATAGCAGTAGGGGTAGTCAGGATTATCCTTTTTGAGATCTCAGTGAGCTGAACAAAGAAAACTCAGTTCTCAGCCATTCTAGAGATTTTTATTGGTTTTTGGTATAATTTAATAAAAATTTTAAACAGGTAACCTTTCCCCCGCCCCCGATGAGTGGATTGTAGGTGTTACTCTTTCATGCAATTTTCTTTCCTTCCTTTTATTCAGTTCTTCCTTGGAGCCTGTGCAACTTTCTCTAATCACATGTTCACACTGTATGAGAAAGGTGGGGCTTTGGGGCTTCCAGCAGATTGAATCTGCCTTGGCTGATCTGGATGCTTCCTTTGGCCTGACGAGCACTCCTATTGCTGTCCCTGAAGGGCGACCGGAGCGTTTTCCTTTGTCATTAGTGTCTCCACGGAGAATGGTGACACGCAGCCAGGATGCCACATTTTCCCCTGGCTCTGAACAAGTATGAACTTTTATTGTTTTCTTAGCTCCTAGTCTTAAGGGATGGGTCAAAGAATTCAGTCTTTTCAATATCAGAGATTTTCAGGATGGAGGAGAAGGCTTAAAGTCTCCTAAAATGGTTGGGCTTCACCTCAGAATACCATGTGGGATTCTAATCTATCATTGTTAAAAAGGCCAAATTCATAATTTTGTTTTGCAAATCTAACGTTTCTTTGAAAAACTCAGTAGTTCTGACACACCACTGAAAGAAATTCCAAAGGTGAAAAAAGAAGTAGTACTAAACTTCATCCCATTTCTTTTGGGAAGCTACAAGGAGTCTTAATTTTTTTGTGTGTCATGTGTGTCATGGATTCCTTAGGCAGTCTAGTGAAGCTATGGATCCCTTTTCATAATAATGTTTTTAAATGCATAAAAGATAAAAATCATAGGATTATAAAGGAAACAATATTGAAATACAGTTGACAAAATTTTTTTAAACTACAGGTTCATAGACCCCAAGGTAAGACCCCTGCCCCAGATTAATCTTGCTTTTTCATGTTTGAAGATGTTTTCTTCCTGTCGTCTCTTCAGCTGGAAAAGAGTCCAGGTCTCGTCATCTCCCGAACACGGAGCTGGGACTGCTCCAGTCCTATTGATCGCCTTGAGCCAGAGGCTGCCAGCCACACCACCAGAAGCCGCCCAGTGACCCGAAGTATGGGGCAGGGAGATAGCACTGGGTTGGAGGTGCCATCTAGCCCTCACCGAAGAGCCAAGCGGGCACGCCTTTGTTCTTCTAGCAGTTCAGTAAGTCTATCATACTTATTTGACAATCATAGTGTATAGATTGATGGAGGTCCTGTGCAGCCCTTAGACTTAAATTTGAATCCATTCATTAGACTTAGGGTCTCAACATAAACACAATATAATTAAGTAAGCTAGTAAATATACATTTTAGGATGGATTCTGTGGAAGGCTTCAAGGAAGGAACTAATTTGGAAGCTCAGTTGGAAGGAAGGGATCAGATATTTCAGGCATATGTGTCAAAAAATAAATAAATGTAGATTAAAAGGAGAGGAGAAAAAAGGACAAATAGACCTAGTTTATATCCAGCATAAGGAGTTGAGAGGGTAGGGAAAATGAGGAAGGAGATATCGGCAAAATGTGAAGGAGACAAAGGGGAAAAGTACATTATGGCAGGTGACTTAGGGTGTGAGTGCCAACAGCTGTCGTCTTCTCTTGAAACTTTAGTAATGCCTCTTTTCATTGCTGTAGCATTCCCAGTCTCTGATACTGTTTCTTTTTTTTTTTTCCCCTCCTTCCCTAGGACACATCTGCCAGAAGCATTTTTGATCCAGTTTCACAGCACCGAGACTGGTGCCCCTGGGTCAATAGCACGCAGATGGAAGTAGCCAGAGAGGATTATGAGAATGAGTTAGCTACGTGCACACCAGCAGAATCAGGCTGGAAGGCCGTGCTACACATCCTCTTGACTCACAGACAGTCTAACCTGCCATCTGATACAGACTCAACGGTGAGAAACATGGTTCTTCTCTATGTGTGCATGTGCATATATGGGATGAGAATGGCAGAGACAGGGCCTATAAATAGCCCCTGTGGGCCTGTGGCTTTCTTAAGCCGAACTGTACTGTGTCTAGTTTCATTATGGAAAGAGAAGAAACTGATTGAATCTCTGTGATTTATTGAGTAGTCATCCATCAGGTTCCAGTTAATTCTCTATGTTCCCAACTGGAATTGCTAGGGGTTCAAAAAGAAGTACAGAAACAGATGAGCATCCAGCTGCTCAGGCCTCGTGTTGCAGAACAGCTGCTCCTTCCATTATTTGCTGTCACTTGCAATTGAGACCCTGGCAGTTTAGCTTAGTTGTTTAGAACACTGTGCTATGATGTCAAGGTCATGAGTTCATTCCTCATATGGGACAGTTAACTTCTCCTTGTTCCATGGTCACAGATTGTATCCTTATCCCCGGGAAACAAGTGTGAATAATTGAGCACAAATCCATCAGAACTTCTGGGGGGGGAATTCAAAATGCATACAATCTTTGTGTATATAAAAATTGAGAATTTTAGAATTTACAATAATTTAGAATTTACAATAAGAGACCTGGTTTCTTCTATTTCCAGCTCACTAAGTAGTTTTCTACAGAGTAGATGATTATAAAGCCTGGAGCAAATAGTTTCTGACCTTCTTACAAAGATCTATCTCTATAGAAAGGGTAAAATAATACATAAAAGCAAGTAATGTTTCCAGGAAGTGTTATAGGGAGACAAAACCAATGCTATTAACACTCCAAACCAAAATTTATTGCAAGGTTATATGCCTGTGGAGAGTGATAATGATACCAAAAGCTCACGAATTATAATAGTCCTTAATAACTCTATGAACAGTGTTCCTGTAGATTGAAATTACATTATTTGAGCTTTCTCCAGAAATTTTTTTTTTTACAAAAATTTTGCTGTTTGTCTTTTTAGTCTATACTCGAGTTGGAAGTCTTAAATATTTGTTCCAAATATTAAGTCATGGAAATAAAGCCAAGCCATCTCAGCTTTCTCTGTAACACTGACCTCTTATCCTCAAGAAAAATGGCCTGTGTTTTCAGTGAAGGGTTCTGTTGGAAATTTTTATTAAAACTATTCTCTGTTACCCTATACAATGAGAGAAAATGGTTTCATGTTTGGAACTGGATATGCAACGAATGGCAGTTACAGAAAGGTAGATTTAAACTGCAAAATGGAAAATGTCCTAACAATGAGAGTTGTACAAGAGAGAAACGGCCACCTTGGAGGTATTCTCACAAAAGAACCTCCATAGAGCTTAGGGGATCACTTGTCACCTGGATTTTAGGGGTTGGATGAAATAAATGGCCTCTCTGAGGACGCTTCCTGTTTAAGATTCGATTTCATTGTTGGAGGACCATAGGATTTGGAGTTGAAAAGGATATAGAGATATTCATTTTATAGATGAGGAGAATGAAGCCCAGAGAGGTTAGTGACCTGCCCAAGGTAATACAGGTGGCAAGTGGCAGAACCAGGCTTTGGACATGTCTTCTGAAATTAATTCCATTGTCCTTTCCACTACACCTTACTGCGTTCCATTGTTTTAGTCTGTGTTCCTCCTTACTAGCACCTCTGTTTTGGTAACTGTCTTTTAGGCAAGCACTTAATGGACTAATTATTATGGATAGCCTAAAGTCCTATTTTATAAATTGAATTAGATTGATCTTAAGTTAAGGGTCTGTAGCTTGTCAGATACTCCGTATTGCTTATATTCTCCCTGGAGATCCTACAACATGGAGTGTAAGTGTTTTTCTTAATTTTCTGGATGATCATTTGTTGGGAATGTTGTAGAGGGGACTCTTTCAGGAGGGATTGCACTAGATGACTTTTGAGGTCCCTTTTAAGTCTGAAATGTTGTGATTCCCAGGTGCAGAAAAGGTCAAATCTTCTGAGTCACTTGACAGTGTCCTTTTTAGTGATGTTGTTTTGTCTCCCTGTATAACACTGTTTCTGGCTATTTCATACCATTTTGTTGGTGTGATCCAGGGACAATGGGATTTTTCCTATTATTAGCTCTGTTGACCTAAACATGATGCTTATAAAGACACAACCACAGGTTTGACTCTAATAAAGGCCAATTCACTTTACTCCCTGGCCACAGATTATATCGAGCTAACCTTGGCCAGCCATTTTGTGTGAGGGCATGCCCTTGTCCATGAGGAGGACTTGATCACTGTCTGTCACTACTATTAGAAGAACAGCTCAAAAGTGTATGCTGTACAGTGGCAGAACACTGGTGTCATCTTTGCAGATGACTGAAAAGACACACATAGAGTAGATGAGAATGACTCACTGAGAAGGGAAATAGCTTCAGTTTCAGTGATACTGCAGTAGAGTTAAACATGGCCGGGCTTTCTGATTTCCCACCTGGCATTCTGTTTGTTCCCTATGCTCCCTCCTAGCTTTCAGCCCCAACAATTAACCAAATGTTGATTACTCAACTGGGGCACGGTATAACTTTTATTTGTGGAAGAAATTCACTGGCTATATCACTCTTTGTCCCTGTGGAAAGAACTAATCTCCATTATTCATCTTTTCATCCCATAGAGTCTCTCTGAGAAATCAAGGAAAGTATTCCGAATATTCCGGCAATGGGAGTCTATGTGTTCATCTTGAAAACATTCCATCCCCTTCATAGAGAGAAGCAGAAAGAGAAATATGCCCCCGGACAAGAAAACCTGAACCCTTTTGGGATCAGTGATGCTAACAGGGTTTTTTACGAGCTGGTTTAATCACAAGGGAAACCAACTGTTGTAAAAGGGAATAAATGTCACCCATATCCATCTGCCTGAGCAGACCTCTATCCGCATGGTTGGAGAAGAGTAGGATATGACAGTCTTACAGGGGCCCTACTTTGCTTAAAAAGTATTACCATTGTAAGACTGTCCAGAACATCAAGGAGATGAGTGCTCCGTTTAGTGCCCAGTGTGGGGGAGGGGGGCTGTGTTGGAATGACTCTTAAATTCCAAAGGTTGTGAAAAAATGTCAGGAGTAATAAAGAATTTCATTATGATTTTTTTCTTATTTCTCGATGCTGGTCTTTTTCCTGAATTGTGACTTTTATGTTAAGGAAGTGTAGACTTGAGAGCTTCTCGTCAGCTCCAGTTCCAGCAACCATCCTGGTCCACGGAGGTAGACTGCATAGCCTAAAAACCACTCTTTTGTAGTTCTGTGAATAGAAGGTTTATAATCTGCCTTGGCCTCTTGGGAAATAGAGATCGTCTTGTGGACAAGATAACTGATCTTTGAGATGACACCAGGAGCTCCTGATATGTTTGTTATATTGCCTGTGTGACAGTGTACAAGACACTTTATCTTTCTGAGTCTCAGTTTTATCACCTGTAAAATGAGGGAATCAGACTAGATGATGTCCAGACTCCATTTTGGCTTTTCAGACCTGTGATCCTAGCTTCAGCCCTAAACCATAACTCCCAATAGGCTTCTTATTTGGTTCTATAAAAGTTCTGGACTTGGCTTTTCCAGGAACTAATATTTTTAAATTATGGGGCTTTTTTTTTGTTTTTACATCACCTGCATTCTCAAATGTTTTCTTCCCACTTCCCCTGCCAGACAGCCATCTCTTATAACAAAGAATAAAAAAAGAGAAAAAAAAAACTTGAGCAAACTAATAAATAGCACATAGAAAAAGTCTAACATGTGTAGTGTTCACCCCCAAGACCACTCATCTTTGCAAAGCAGGGGGCCAATCTTGGTCACTGTAATTTTACAATTGTGCTAATATAGTTCTTTTAAAAATTGGGTACATTTTGCTTTGACACAACAGATACTAACCAATAAACACCCAAAGAATCCTGAAAAACAGTCCATTGCTTATTAACAGAAGCTTTGTCTATTAATTTTGATAGTATGGTACTAACAGTGAACTCTGTATTTAAACCAGAATTTTGTTGCCTCTCCATGTTGACTTTACTTACATTGTGGCAATCGTTTTGTACGTTGTTCTTTTGGCTCTGCTTTCTTCACTCAGTATCACTTCAAGCCTTCCTGTGTTTCTCAGAATTTTTCATGTTTATTGTTCCTTACCATTCAGTACTACTCCCCTTACGTTTATATCTTAATTCGTTAGGCATTCCCCAATAGTAAAGAGCAATCTTTTGTTTCTAGCTTTTTGTTACCATAAACAGTGCTGCTTTTATTATTTTCATACATATACACGGTCACTAATCTTGGGTTATATTCCTACCAGTAGATCTCTCAAAGGATATGAACATTCCATTAACTTATTACACGTTGTTTTCTAGAACATGAACCATTCCCTTTTGGTTTGTCCCTTGGAGAATATAAATGCTAGTCCATCTAAAAGGCCACCTTTGCTATCAGCTCCCAGGAAACATGCTGTAGGCGCTGACATTCTCAGGAATTCCTACTTTTAATCACAGCAACCAGTGCAGCATGTGTGGGGCAACCCCTCTCCCTGCTGCCTCCCTGTAAATTGATCTTCCATTTCCTTTTACCCTACATCACAGGATGGTGTCCTGTCGAGAGTTTTAAAGCAGAACATCACAGAAGGTCATGGAATCCCTAAAGAATAAAGATGAGATTAGTAATATGGAATAACTAAGATGACAGTGCCATTGTGTAGAATCAAGGGGCTGAACAAACTATAATAGTAAAATCAGCTCAAAAAGCAGGCCAGACTATCTCTGCATGAATATCTTGCAACCTCACAGGTGAAAGTAGTATCTAGAAAGGCTACATTCATAACCTCTTGTTCTGCTGGCTTTGCCCCCAATAGATCATTAATGGACTTAGTTGATGCTATTTCCCTGTGAAGTAAGGGCCTCTATTTAATCAGCTTACTTCAGCTGGGGCTGTGGCCACAGAACCAGAACCGGCCTGGTTAGTTGGCTTAGAGAGACAGCTTGTTTGCTTCTTCCTGACTTGTCCTGCCCCTTTCCATCTCAGCAAGGAAAAACAGCTGCTCCTGAAGCCACAACCAGCAAAAGATATATAAACACTTTCTTCACTTCATTTTTCCTTTCTATTTTTAGAATTCTTCCTGCTCCAGGTTTTCCTTGGCTTGAGATAGCTGCTCTCTGGGTCACACAGCCCATGCATGCCTTTAGGAGTGTAGACTGTAAAAGAAACTTTTTTGAAGGACTTTTGTTCCATTTTTATCCCTTGACCCATTTTCTCCCTCTGTCTATAGGTTGAAGCTTTCATAACCAACATCAAAGGACATTCAAAGTAAATAAGTAAATAAATACAAAGTTGAAAACGTAGTTTGGTGGGTAGGGCACTAGCAGTTGAAAAGTATCAGGAAAGGTTTGTATGCAAAAGGTGATGCTTGAGTTGTGTCTTGAAGAAAGAGCACTCTTAAGGTGGAGGTGAGGAAGGAGTGTATTCCAAGCTTGAGGTTGATAGCCAGTACAAAGGTGTAGAGATGTAGTGTCGTCAGATGGACAGAGAGAAAGCCAGTTTGACTGGCTCATTGTGCAGGAGAGAAGGTAGGTTGGGGCAGGATTGTATCAGACTTTATTTTTATTTATTTATTTTTTTAGGCAATTGGGGTTAAGTGACTTGCCCAAGGTCACACAGCTAGTAAGTGTCAAGTGTTTGGTCTGAAGCTGGATTTGATCTCAGGTCCTCCTGACTTCAGGGCCAGTGCTCTATCCACTGTGCCACCTAGCTGCCCCCTGTATCAGACTTTAAAAGCTAAATAGAATTGACATTTTATCCTTGATCCAATAGGGAGCCTCTGGAGATAATTGAGTAGGAAAGTCACTTGAATCTGTGCTAAGGAAAATTAATATGGCAACTGTAGGAATGTCTGGAGTATTGAAGGACCAGAGGCAGGGAGACCAATTAGGAAGCCATTGCAGTAATCTAGCTGAAAGGTGATGAGGGCTTGAACTAAAGTGGTAGCTTTGGAAGCAAAGAAAAGGGGTCAGATGAGAGAGATATTGGGAAGGTAGAATGGTAAGATTTTGCAACTGATTGAATATACCATATGGGGTGAAAGAGAGTGAGAGTTTGAGAATGATATCAATATCATGAATCTGGGATGGGGAGATGATAATGCCTTTGACAGAAATAGGGAAGTTCAGAGGGTCAGGATGTAGGGGAAAGGGTATAAGTTCAATTTTGGGCGTGTTGAGTTAGAGATGTCTCTAGGACATCCATTTTGAAATACCCAGTAGGAAACGGGTAACTTGAAACTAAAGCTCAGGAGAGAGCCAGGGAGCTGGAGATATAGATCTCTGAGTCATCTACCTAGAGATGATAGTTCAGTCCTCTACAGATCCCTGCTGGTTGAGATGGCCGTTTTTGCTGCTCAATACTTCTTTTTCCCCCACTTTGATGGCCATAAGCCAATGTCAAGGAGGTGGGGATATGTCCAACTACCTCCTTTTCGCAGAAGCAGAACATTACACAGAACAACTGGCCTTTTATCTGAAGTACCAAAACACACATGACGTGGTGAAAAGAGCCCAGAACTTGGAAGTCCATAGGCAAGGCATATAACCTCTTTTACCTTCAATTTCCTTGTCTATAAAATAGGAAGAGTAACAACTCTAGCAGGACAGCTAGGTGGTGCAATGGATAGAGTACCAGGCCTAGAATTAAGAAGACTTGGGTTCAAATCCAGCCTAACACTTACTAGTTGTGTGACCCTGGGCAAGTCCCTTAACCCTGTTTGCCTCAGTTTCCTCATCTGTAAAATGAGTTGGAGAAGGAAATGCCAGACTGCTCCAATATCTTTGCCAAGAAAACTCCAAATGGAGTCACGGAGTCAGACACGACTGAAAAACAACTCTAGTACCTAGCTCACAGGGTTGTGGTGAGGCTCAAATGAGGTAACATATATAAAGCACTTTGCTAACTTTTAAGTGTCATATAAATGTCAGTTGTAGAGGTGATAAGGGCTTGAATTAAGGTGATGCCATGGGAGTTTCAACATGGAAAGAAGGGGATGGAAACTTTGGAGATGAAATTAACAAGCAGGCAATTAACAAAACTCTCACTCTATGCCAGGCACTGTACTAAGCACTAGAGACACCAAGAAAAGCAAAAGACAGTCCCTGTCCTTGAGGTGCTCACATTCTGAAGGGAGAGACAACCTGTAAATAGCTAGGTTCATTCAACATGCATACAAAATAGGTGGCACATAAGCTCAGAGGTGAAGGCACTATCATCTGGGGAAACAGGAAAAGCCTTCTGAAGATGGCTGCATTTGGGCTGAATCCTGAAGGAAGTCAGGAAAACAGGGAGATGGGGAAGAGGGAAAGTATTCCAGGCATAAAGGACAATCTGTGCAGGCCAGTAGATGGGAGATGGAGGCCAGTGTAGTTGGTTTGTAGAGTACAGTGAAGGAAGGAAAGTGAAAGGAGGCTGCAAGGGTAGGAGGGAGCTAGGTTGTGAAGGGCTTTAAATGTCCAACAAGTAGAAGAGGAGAAGGAAGTAAACATTCATATAGCACCTACTATGTGCCTGCCACGGTGCTAAGCCCTACAAACATTTCATTTGATCCTCACAACATTCTTGGAAGGGAAGTGCTGTTATTATCTCCATTTTTACAGTTGAGTAAACTGAGGCAAACAGAGGTTAAGTGAGTGGCCCAGGGTCACGTAGCTAGTGCTGGCATTCAGATTTGAACTCAGGTTTTCCAGACTCCAGTGTTCTATCCACTGTGCCACTGCCTCAAACAGAGGAGTTTATATTTGGTCCTGGAGCTAATAGCAGCCACTGGCATTTGTTGAGTAGGATGGCATGTTAGATGTACACTTCAGGAAAACCACTTTGGCAGCTGAGTGGATGATGGATTGGAGTAAGGAGAGACTTGAGGCAGGGAGACCAATTAGAAGACTAGTGCAACCAACCACAATTCAAGAGGACTGACAATAAAATTTATTACTCACCTCCTGACAGAGAGGTAATGGACTAAAGATGAAGAATAAGATATATTTTCAGATACAAATGTGGGGGAATGTGTTTTTCTCGACTGTGCATATTTGTTGCAAAGGATCTTGTTTTTGTTTTTTTCTTTTTTCCCATTTTGGGGG